CACACACACACACACACACACACACACACACACACACACATTACCCAGGACTGCACATATGGTGCTGCCAGAGCGAGTGAGAGAAGCAAAACACTGAAGATAAAAGGCAGAGGGGAGAAAAGGAAGGATGCTTATGGATCATAACAGAGAGCAAGAGACGGAGGGTTCAAAAGAGGAAAAGGAGAAGACGGTTGCAGGCAGATGGAGAGGTGGAGAGGGAGGGGGTGGAGCGAGGGGGAATCGCAGATGGAGAAGGAGGTGAAGGGGAGCAGGAGAGGAAACACACAGGAGTTGGTTAATACTGCATTAGACATCCACTCTCCCTCTGTCCCCCCGTCTCTATATTTAGACAAAACCTGTGAAGTAGTCACATTCCACTTGGCTTCACAGAAGCATAGTGATGATTTTTACCCACTGAAGATTAAAATGACCACACAAATGTCCACACAAAAATGCCTGCGCATACTTTGTGTCTACTTCTCAGTGAAGCAAATTCTCCATTTATCACCCTGTTGATTGTGTAACATGTTGTGTTATCACAGTCAACTGTTTCCAAACCCTTGCTGAGGCTGGAATTATAGAGCCGTCACGTTCCCCTCCAGCAGGCAGCGGAAGCTGGATCAGCAGGTCCTGAGACGGCAGACGTGGCATGAGAAGGCCGCACTTTGCTGGAGACAAGCAGCCAGAGGCAGGGAAACACCGAGAGAAGCAGGGGATGGCAAAATATATAAATATATATAAAACAGTTGTTTTCCTGCAAATATGATGAGCCCACAGCCATCTGTGGCAGGCGGTGTGGGCCAACTGCGGTGGGACGTTGTGAGAGAAAGATTGTCAGAAGCAGACTGGCTTCTCTCACACAACAACAGAGCATCTTGGAATGAAATCTGCTTGCTGGGAGCAGCCAGAGATGCCGAGCTGGAATGATACATGAGTCAGTGAAAGCTGGATGTTAGAGCCGTGCCAGGAGAGAGAAAACCTTTGGGATTCAGTGCTTCCAGAAGGTCACTTCCATCTACACTCCCTTTTTTCAAACAGAAATAATTCATTGTGCAGATAATCGACGCTCTCAGGAGAACTGAGGCACGGTCGGGTTATAAAGAGCTTTTAGAAAAAAGCCGTCACCACACAATAAAATGGACATCAATCAAAACATTAAACCTGTAGTCTTTGTCTCCTGTACCACTGAAGGTACTATCTAAAGAACATTTTCATTTATCAATAAATAATTATTAAAGTGTTTTACATTGTTCTGTTTTTTTTATTTTTGCAGTTTAGGAAGGACTGGGGTTCAGATAAATTTGAATCTGTCACACAATTTCACTTACTTGGACCGGCTGCACTGCAGAAACTGTCCATCTTACAAGTTTTAAAATCTTATATCCAGCCAAAAAGTCTTTTTGATCTTGTTTTGAGACTGATTTACTAAACATGAAACGATTGTGTAAGAATAATAATCTTGTTTTCAGAATGTCTAAGAGTCTTGTTCGCCTGAAAATTTGACTCAAATTAAGTCAAAAATATCTGCCAAAAAAGTAAGAAAATTTTACTTGGTAAGATTCTTGAAATACTTGATTTGACTCAATTTTTTCTTATTTCAAGAATCTTACCAAGTGAAATTTTCTTACTCCATTGGCAGAAATTTTTGACTTAATTTGAGTCAAATTTTCAGGCGAACAAGACGAATAATCTTACACATTCTGAAAACAAGATCATTATTCTTTCACAACCAGTTCTTGTTTAGTAAATCAGTCTCAAAACAAGATCAAAAAGACTTTTTGGCTGGACATAAGAGTTTTAAACTTGGTAAGATGGACAGTTTTTGCAGTGCATTTTTTAAATTTAACTTTTAGATTTAGATTTACACATTTAGATTTAGTTTTTAACTTTTAGATATAACATGAAAAGTTTAAATTTCACATTTACGTACATTTACATCAATGTCAACCCCTTCATCCTGTATCTTGAACCTCAAAAACCCATAATTAAGGATAATAAAGGAGCCAGGAGTGGTGGATGGAGAGAGGTGGGGAAATTATTTCTAGTGGCAGAGCAGGTTGGGAAATGATTATTTAATTTTATTTATCAGGGTTTTTTATGTCCCACTGAGACATAAAATAAATTTGAAGTTGAGTTTTTGAAAAATTCCATGAGATTTGAAAAAAAATTGAGATTTCTCTATACGTCCAAAGTGAGGAATATCCATGTAATTTAAGGACAATAAGAACACCTTGTATACATTTAGTGTAAATTATAAAAACAGTCAGCTAAATAACAATAAAAAGTTAGTGGAAATTTTTACACAGATAGTGAGCTAAATGATGAAAATGTGTTAGTGACATTTTTTAACATTCTATTTGGAGTCGTTTAAAAACAGCAGCAATCTTATTTGCCTTCAGACTTTTCGTTCATTAATCTGGTCAGATAAAAAAACTGTTTTTCTAAATTAAGATGTTCAAAGAACTATCTGTTACAGGTATGACAGTAATTGCTCCTACTCTTCACAGAACCTCACCTTTATACATTTCAAGGCAATCTTTTTATTTTAAGATTAAATTTGCTTGTAAACTTTGTGTTTATTTTTTGTAGATGAATGAAAACTTTCACCGTAAAAGAAATCTCAAAACCCAGCTTTGTTCGGCGGACAACTTACACAAACTTAGTGTTCAAACCTGCCTCTGATAATCCAGTTCAGACTGATGTGTGTAGAAGCGGTTAAGGCATGCAAACTTGCAAACAGGAGCCAGGCAGTTCGAGAAGCAGGATTCGGTCGTGTCACAGACAGATGAACACAAACGTCACACAGAGACCTCACCTCCAGGTAGTTCAGCGGGGCCGCAGCTCATCCTCTCTGGGTCGATGTCAGCCACCCACAGTGTGCGGACGCAGCCCTTCCACAGGCCGTAATGGGCCATCTGGCAGGTCTGGTTGCCACTGAAGTGCTTCGGTTGGGCCAGCTCAACCCAGAACTCTGTCCCCATGCCCAACACGGTCAGGGTCACCCCGACAATAGCCACAAAGAAGGCCAGCTTGATCTTACCCTCCTGGCTGTCACTCATCTTGTTGGTCCGCCTTTGTCCTCTAAAACCTTTCATTCCAGCCAGACCTCCAGCCTGTCCGGCCCCCGCCACCCCCATACGACCATCCTCCTCCTGCTGGACAAAGAAGTTGGACCACATACTGGCCGAGGCCCAGCAGGAAAACTGGGAGGTAAAATAAAGGAGGAATTGGGTGCAGGAGTCTGTGGCACTATTTTAAACACTGTTTGAGACACAGCTGCTGCTCAGGATGAGAAAAACTCAATAAAAGCAGTCAGAAATGGAATAAAAAACCAAGTGGGCTGGATGCTGAAATTAGACAAAAAGAGCTATGAATAGATCTGCAGTGATGCAGGGTGGGGGTGGGGAGGGCGTGAGGTAAGATAAATGGATGGGCTGAGATGGAGGAGAGGACCAGGAGAGCCAGTCTGTTTCCTGTCCAATCTTCTGAAACAGAGAGATGAAAACAGAGAGATGAAAGAGCAGCCAGCATATGCTCCACCAGAACAAAAGCCTTTCATCACCAGAGTAATAATCTCATTTCCACCAGCTTTATCAGCGTCTACAGTTCCCCCTCCCTAAAAAGCCATGCGACATCTCCCAGCCAGCACCAGATAAGCCCATATGGCATTCCTGTCTCAGGCAGATTTAGCTTCAGATGAAGAAAACAATTGTTCCGGATGGTTTTTAAACAGTAGAAGTGGTTAAGGTGAGATAACAGCACGCCACCGGGTCGGACCACCCATTTTCGACTCAGTAGAAGTTGACAGCAGAGCAGGTACACACTCTGCAGCTTAGATTCAGATCCTCTTTTGATCTGGGAGGATAATGGGTTTGCATTAAGTTTGTTTCTGTTCTCCCACAACCTGAGCGGGGGGGGGGGGGGGGGTCTTTTACAGTTGTAACAATGTAAGCAGCAGGGGACAAACTGTGTCGCCAACATGCACGTGAAGGGGGATTCATGAGAGGTGATAATTTAGGCCTGAACCCTCGGAGAGGGGCTGCGGTAATTGACTCTGCTGTACTTGTCCAAAAGGTCTAAAAGTGGAGGGAGGGGTGCAGTGGTGGGGGGCACCTCCACAGTTGGTGGATCACTTAATTCAGAGCTTTGCACTGACACCATCGGAGGTTTTAAATAGGCAGAACAACATCTGAACCCTGATACTGAAAGTCCTCCGTGTCCGTTATTTATCACCAGCACAGTGAAACGACCAATCACAGCTCAGACTGAGGCCACATTCGATTCCACAAACGTGGAATTGTTAAAGTGATTAATTGAGAGGGAAAAAAGTTAAATGTCAATATAATTTACTTAAAAGTGAATTGTGATTGTGGAAAATAAAAAGTACAAACACATGAAACACATGCTGACATTTTAGCTTCTGTTTGTTATAATTATTGTTTTTGTTCTTTACCATCATTTATCATTAGTAACAGCAGTTATATCAATCAAAGTTATGAGGATTATTTGTCCATATTTTAAATTTTTATGAAAGAACTGACTGATGATTTGTTCATTTTAAATAAAAGAAGCTGTTAAAATAAATACCATTTATGCAAGGACAGAGGAAAACAAATCAATTTGCTTTTTCAAAATCAATTTGTTCCACAAACCTGTAGCATGAAAAGATTATATAATCCTGAAAATGTTTCTGTGCAGCTCATCATGAGGAATAATATCAATATGTCACCAAGTCACAACAGATCTTTTGTTATATAATCATTTTTTATACAATCTACCTTTTTTAAGCAAGGTTTTTACAACAAACTGAAAATATAAAACTTATGGATATAGTCCACGGGCTAGGGTGGCTCACTGTGCCCCCCCCCACCCCCACCC